TTCATGCCATTCTCCTGCCTCAGCCTCCTGAGTAGCTGGGGCTACAGGTGCCCGCCACCACACCCAGCTAGTTTTTTGTATTTTTAGTAGAGACGGGGTTTCTCCGTGTTGGCCAGGATGGTCTCGATCTCCTGACCTCGTGATCCGCCGGCCTCAGCCTCCCAAAGTGCTGGGATTACAGGCGTGAGCACTGTAGCCGCTCACCCCTTCAGCATTAAAATCAACAATGAATTTAACCAGGCAAAACCACTGGCAATCTATTCTCTCTGAAGGCTCCTGCAGAGCCCTGTTTTGTCTATCTCTTTTTTTTTTTTTTTTGAACAGAGTCTCTCTGTCCTGAACTGGATGCAGTGGTGAGGTCTGAGCTCTCTGCAACCTCCGCCTCTGGGGTTCAAGCAATTCTCCTGCCTCAGCCTCCTGAGTAGTTGGGATTACAGGTGCCCACTCACCACACCTGGCTCATATGTGTATTTTTAGTAGAGATGGGGTTTCACCATGCTGGCCAGGCTGGTCTCAATTCCGACCTCAGGCAAACTGTCATGGACTCCCAAAGCTCTGGGATTACAGGTATGCGCCTGTGCCTCACCCTGTTTGTCAATCTTATGATCTCTGTTTTTTCTTTTTTTTTCCTTATGATCTCTGGGGTTTTTTTTGTTTTTTTTTTTTGTTTTTTTTTTTTTAAGTTGAGATAGTATCACTGCAACGCCCAGGCTGGGGTGCAATGGCGCGATCTCGGCTCACTGCAACCTCCACCTCCCAGTTAGGCAGTTCTCTGCCTCAGCCTCCTGGTAGCTGGGATTACAGGCACCTCCTCAAATAATTTATTTTTTATTTTTTTATTTTTTGGTATTTTTAGTAGAGATGGGATTTTACCCGTTGACCAGGCTGGTCTCAAACTCTGGACTTCAGGTGATCCGCCCGCCTCTGCCTCGGGATTCTGGGATGACAGGCGTGAGCCACCGGTGCACATCTGTTGTTTGTCAATCTTACGATCTTGGTTTTCCTGTGAATGCTGGTCAGCTAACTGCCACTGATTCTAAAGGCAGGAGGCATATAATGAGGCATGTCTGGCCCCACTCTCTATGACGACCCCAGACTAGACTATTTCCCAGGATAAGTGCATGGAATATCCTTAGCTGAGGAACGGATCCCATTCAGATGTTTGAGCAGGCATTGATTTTTGTTGTGGTTTTACATTGGTATTAACAGGAGCCTGTGAAGGTGCTGTAAACCTCTGTTTTTTCTCTTCTTTTCTCTTGTTTTTTTTTTTGTTTTTTTGTTTTTGTTTTTTTGTTTTTTTTGAGACAGGCTCTCACTCTGTCACCCAGGCTGGAGTACAGTGGCATGATCTCGGCTTGTGCAACCTCCGCCTCTGGGTTCAAGTGATTCTCCTGCCTCAGCCTCCTGAGCAGCTGAGATTACAGGCGCCCGCCACCAATACCGGCTCATTTTTGTATTTTGATTAGAAACGGGGTTTCACCATGTTGACCAGGCTGGTCTTGAACTCCTGGCCTCAGGTGATGCCTGCCTGGCCTCCCAAAGTGTTGGGATGACAGGCGTGCGCCACCATGCCGGGCCGTTTTAAAATACTTATTTGTACACACGAGCTCTCGCTCGTTGCCCAGGCTGGTCTCGAACTCCTGGGCCGGGCGGTCTGTGCCTCGGCCTCCCAGCAGTGCTAAAATGACAGGCGTGAGCCCACTGTGTCAGAAAGCGCGGCCTGTTTCATTTCAAGCTTAGGTTTAGCACAGTCAGGACGGCTGTGTAGAAGCGGAACTGGCGGAAAATGGTCGGTCTAGGCTAATGGATGAGTGAGGAAACCCAGCCAGGCTTATGCTGGATTCTTCTTGGTGTCTCTGAGCAGAACTCCTTTCTTCTGGGTGTGAGGCAGAAGAAAGGAATGGAATTTCGGTTCCTCTCTGGAATGGAAATCTTAGGATCTTCAGTCGAACAAGAGAGGTGAGCAAATTTCCTTACAGCCAGTTTTTACAGAAAAGAGTGGAAAGGAGAGTCCTCTTTTTATTGATTTATTGATTTATTGAGACAGAGTCTCGCTCTGTGGCCCAGGCTGGAGTGCAGTGGCCGGATCTCGGCTCACTGCAAGCTCCGCCTCCCGGGTTCAAGCCATTCTCCTGCCTCAGACTCCTGAGTAGCTGGGACTACAGGCGCCGCCACGTCGCCCGGCTAGTTTTTTGTATTTTTTTAGTAGAGAGACGGAGTTTCGCGTATTTAGCCAGGATGGTCTCGATCTCCTGACCTCGTGATCCACCATCTCGGCCTCCCAAAGTGCTGGGATTACAGGCTTGAGCCACCGCGCCCGGCCTATTTGTTTTATTTTTATTTTATTTTATTTTATTTTTATTTTATTTTATTTTATTTTATTTTGAGATGGAGTGTTGCTCCGTCACCCAGGCTGGAGTGCAGTGGCGTGATGTCAACTCACCGCAACCTCTGCCTCCCGGGTTCAAGCGATTCTCCTGCCTCAGCCTCCCAAGTAGCTGGGATTACAGGCCTGTGCCACCACACCCGGCTAATTTTTGTATTTTTAGTAGAGACGGGGTTTCACCATGTTGGCCCAGGCCAGTCTCGAACTCCCGACCTCAGAGTGATCCACCCTCCTCGGCCTCCCAAAGTGGGATTATAGGCATGACCACTGTGCCTGGCCCAACACAGATCTTAAGTCTGAATAGGAAATATTTACAACTGGCTGGGTGTGAGAAGTGGCGGGGAAAAGCCTGTAATCCCAGCTACTCGGGAGACTGAGGCAGGAGAAATTGCTTGAACCTGGGAGGTGGAGGTAGCGACGAGCCGAGATCACGCCACTGCCTCCCGGCAGCACCTGGCGACGGTGAGACTCTGTCTCAAAAAAAAAAAAGAAAAGAAAGGAGACACATTTACAATCTAGTCCCACTCAAGCCTGCTAACTGGAGGCTTCATCACTGTGATAAAACCTGGGTCACCGACCCTCTACCATCATAACCTACTGTGATTCCATCTCAAGACCTGACTAAACAACACTCCCACTTCCCAAGCACCTGCCAAATATATTAATTAATTATTAATTATTAATTATCATTTGATTATCAATTATCATTATCATCAAATCAATTATTAATTATCATCAATTAATAATTAATAATTATCGTGGTATCATTAATTAATTATTACTTATTAATTAATTAATTTTTGAGCGAGTCTTGCTCTATTGCCCAGGTTGGAGTATATTATATATCATATATATACTCTATATATATAGTATATAGTAATGTAATCTCAGCTCACTGCAACCTCCACCTCCTGACTTCAAGCGATTCTCCTGCCCCAGCCTCCTGAATAGACGGGATTACAGACCCCCACCACCACACCCGGCTAATTTCTGTATTGTTAGTAGAGACGGGGTTTCTCCATGTTGGTCAGGCTGGTCTCGAACTCCCAACCTCAGGTGATCCACCACGCCTCTCCCGGTCTCCCAAAGTGCTGGGATGACAGTCATAGAGCCACCACGCCTGGCCTTTATTTATTTATTTTGGGGTGAAGTCTCACTCTGTTGCCAGGCTGAAGTGCAGTAGTGTAGTCTCAGCTCACGCAACCTCGCCTCCCGGTTTCAAAGCGATTCTCCTGCCTCAGCCTCCTGAATAGCTGGATTACAGATGCCCACCACCATGCCTGGATAATTTTTGTATTTTTAGTAGAGACAGGGTTTTGCCACGTTGGGCAGGCTGGTCTCGAACTCCAAACCTCAGGTGATCCACCCTCCTCGGCCTCCCAACGTGCTGGGATGACAGGCATGAGCCACTGCCTACCGCCTCAGCCTCCTGAGTAGCTGGGATTACAGGCATGCCACCACGCCCGGCTAATTTTTGTCTTCTTAGTAGAGATGGGGTTTTGCCATGTTGGTCAGGCTGGTCTCGAACTCCTGACCTCAGGCCATGCTGCTCCCAAAGGGCTGTGATTCTAGGTGTGAGCCACCGTGCCTGACTCTCAGTTAAGAATTTTTGCAAAGACAGTTACAATATTTTTGGTTACAAAGGCAAAATCTTTCCAAAGTGTCTGTAGTCTGTTGTGAAAATGGTTAAATCAGGGCGAGCGCCCAGTGGCTCATGCCTGTAATCCCAGCACTTTGGGAGGCCAAGCGGAGTGGATCAGCAGGTCAGGAAGATAAAGAGACCATCCTGGATAACATGGTGAAACCCGTCTCTACAAAATACAAAATGCTGAGCGTGATAGCGGCGCCAGTAGTCCCAGCTACTCTGGAGGCTGAGGCAGAAGAATGGCATGAACCCCGGGAGGCAGCTACAGTGAGCTGAGATCACACCACTGCACTCCAGCCTGGACGACAGATCAAGACTCTGTCTTGGAAAAAAAAAAAACAAACAAAAATTATACAGGCGTGGTGGCGCATGCCTGTGTCCAGCTACTGAGAAGGCTGAAGCAAGGAAATCACTTGAGCTCGGGAGAGACAGAGGTGCGGTGAGCTGAATAATACCACTGCACTCCAGCTAGGTGACAAGAGTGAAATTCTGTCTCAAATAATAAGGCCATTTGCAGTGGCTCATGCCTGTAATCCCAGTACTTTGGGAGACTGAGGCGGGTGGATCAACCGAGGTCAGGAGTTCGAGACCAGCCTGGCCAACATGGCAAAACCCTGTCTCTACCAAAAAATGCAAAAATTAGTCGGGCGTGAGTGGCACATGCCTGTAATCCCAGCTACTAGAGGCTGAGGCAGAGAATCGCTTGAACCTGGGAGGCGGAGGTTGTAGTGAGCTGAGATCATGCCACTGCACTCCAGCCTGGACAATAGGCTGAGACTCCATCTCAAAAAAAAAAAAAAAAAAAAAAAAAAAAAAAAAAATCAATAATAATACATAAATAAGAAAAAAAAAAAAAAGAAAAACTAACACTGTTGCATTTTTCTGTGTTTCCTTCGATTGTTTCAGATGGGAAGGCAAACTGTGTTTCATAGTTCCACCTTGGCTGAGCGTAGACTTCTCTGTCCCTACTTTCATCCGTCCAGCCCACCATGGATGTGCAGCCGTAATCCACCATCGTCCAGCTCTCCAGGACACTGAGGCCCAGGAGAATTGCTTGAACCCTGGAGCGGAGGTTACCTTGACCGAATCGCACCAGTCCACTCCAACCGCACAGAGAGCGAGATTCCCTCTAAAAAAAAAAAAAATTGAGATGGTGATAGTTCTTATGTTTGCACCCTCAAATCTCATGTTGAAACAGGATCCCCAACGTTGGGGAGGTGGGTTCTAGTGCGAGGTGTTTTGGGTGAGGTGAATCGTAGTAAATAAACTTGGTTCAGCCCCTGAGTGAGCTCTACTCTGTGGTTCGTGTGAGGAGCTCGTTCTTTTGCCATCCTGGCTAACGATGAAACCCTGTCTCTACTAAAAATACAAAAATTAGCTGAGGGTGGTGGCAGGCGCCTGTAGTCCCAGCTACTCAGGAGCCTGAGGCAGGAGAATGGCCTGAACCTGGGAGGCAGAGGTTGCAGGGAGCCGAGATAGCACCACTGCACTCCAGCCTGGGCGACAGAGAGCGAGACTCCGTCTCAAAAAAAAAAAAAAAAAAAAAAGACCCTGGCATTTCTCTTGCTTCCTTTCTCACCATGTAATTCCTTCTATCCCTTTGCCTTGGGCCATGATGTGAAACCCTCCACCTCCAGTTCTCAGTTCTCTGTTTCCCTCCTATGTCACCTTCAGATGACATTGAGCATTTAATTTATTTATACTTCCCTGCCTTTCCAAACAATGGTCCGTGAATTACCAACCTCCAGTGCTAAGCCTGGGGATGTTCAAAGACCGACTCTGGGAATTCATCCCAGCACCTGTAAGCGGCTTCCTGGAGGTGTCTGTCACCAGCCCCTGTGAACATGGGGACGGTGACATCTCTTTGCTTGATGGCTCACGGCCAGAGAATGTCACTGCTTGAACAAACGTAGCCTTGTCTGCACCATCTCCTTGTTCCTTGCTGGGAAGCCCCAGTTCTTTGCCTGCTGCCATGGCCAGGGAAACCCTCCACCTCCAGTTCTCAGTTCTCTGTTTCCCTCCTATGTTACCTTCAGATGACGTTGAGTATTTGTTTATTTATACTTCCCTGCCCTTCCAGAGGCTGTGTGGTCCCATGAATCGCCAACCTCCAGTGCTAGCCAGAACATGGCCCTGAGGATGTGTTCAAAAGGCTGAGCTCTGAGATTCATCCCAGCACCTGTAGTGGCTTCCTGGAAGTGTCTCTCTGTACTGTGAACACCCAGGGACGGTGACATCTTTGTAGCGAAAACATGACCCAGAGAATGTCACTGCTTGAACACATGTAGCCTTGTCTGCACCATCTCCTTGTTCCTTGCTGGGAAGCCCCAGTTCTCTCTTTAGAATGAGGGGTTTGGGCTGGGCAGGGACTTTCTGACCTGAAGTTTCCTCTTAGCTGAAAACAGCTGTGGTTCCACCGTGTGGCTCCTTAGCCTCTCTTTTCTCAGGGGCAGGGATGGGTGCCAGAGAGAATGGTATGAGATAAAGCTCAGAGACAGAATTCAGATGGTGGGTTGGGCGTATTGACTCACAGCTATGATCCCACCACTTCGGGAGGCCAAGGGGCATTTAATAAATCCACACATTGGCCACGTGGAGTGGCTCAGCTGTCATCCCAGCACTTTGAGGAGGCCGAGGCAGGTAGATCACCTGAGGTCAGAGTTTGAGCAGCCTGGCCATCGTGGTGAAACCCATCTCTAATAAAAATACAAAAAGTAGCCGTGGTGGCAGGTGGCTATAATCCCAGCTACTCAGGAAGCTGAGGCAGGAGAAATTGATTGAGACAGTTTTTGTATTTTGTTAGAGATGGGGGTTTCCTATGTTGGTCAGGATGGTCTTGGGCTTCCTGACCTCGTGATCTGCCTGCCTCGGCTCCCAAAGTGCTGGGATTACAGCGTGAGCCCCCACACCCTGTATCTATGTATCTATGTATACGTATGTATGTATGTCTGTCTATCTATCTCATTATCATCTGTGTCTACCTATATGCCATCTATTATATCTATATGATCACTTATTATATCAATTATTCTTTTATTCCATCTATTATCTGTCTATGTCTCTCTTTGTATCTACTCTCTATATATAGATATCTATATAGATAGATCACCTATCATAATCATTTATTATATCTATCATCTAGAATTTTTATTTTATCTATCTATATATCCATCCATCGATCCATCATCCTGTCTACCTGTCACCTACCATCTATCCCATGTCTATAATGATCACTTATTATATCAATTAATCTTCTATTCCATCTATTATGTCTATGTCTCAATCTTTGTATTTACTCTCTCTCTCTATATATAGATAGATATGTATATAGATAGATCACCTATCTATCATAATCATTTATGATATCTATCATCTAAGTTTTATTTTATCTATCTATCTATATGTCTATCTATTGATCTATCATCTGTCTACCTATTACCTACCATCTATCATGTCTATAATGATCACTTATTATATTGGTCCATCTTCTATTCCATCTATTATCTGTCTATCTGTCGATCTCTCTTTCTGTCTAATCTATCTATCTATCTATCTATCTATCTATCTATCTATCTATCTATCTCTATCATGTATGTATCTATGTATCTAGGTATCTATCTATACATGTATCTATGTATCTATCTATCTCTATCATGTATGTCTATGTATCTATCTATGTATGTATCTATGTATGTATCTATGTATCTATCTATCTCTATCATGCTTATGCTTATCTATGTATCATGTATCTATCTATGTATGTATCTATGTATCTATATCTATCTATGTATCTATCTATCTATCATCTCTATCATGTATGTATCTATGTATCTATGTATCTATCTATGTATGTATCTATGTATCTATCTATGTATCTATCTATCTATCTCTATCATGTATGTATCTATGTATCTAGGTATCTATGTATGTATCTATGTATGTAATATATGTATCTATCTATCTCTATCATGTATGTATCTATGTATCTATCTATGTATGTATCTATGTATCTATATCTATCTGTAACTGTCTATGTATCTATCTATCTATCTGTCTATCATCTCTATCATGTATGTATCTATGTATCTAGGTATCTATCTATGTATGTATCTATGTATCTATCTATGTATCTATCTATCTGTCTATCTCTATCATGTATGTATCTATGTATCTAGGTATCTATCTATGTATGTATCTATGTATGTATCTATGTATCTATCTATCTCTATCATGTATGTATCTATGTATCTAGGTATCTATCTATGTATGTATCTATCTATATGTATCTATCCCCTTGTCTATCATGTATGTATCTAGGTGTCCTATCTATGTATCTATGTATGTATCTACATGTATCTATCTATCTCTATCATGTATGTATCTATGTATCTATGTATGTATCTATGTATCTATGTATCTATCTATCTATCTCTATCGTGTATGTATCTATGTATCTATCTATCTATGTATCTATCTATCTATCATCTATCTATAATGGTGATTCACAGGCCAGGGAGAATTCTGCCCCCAGGGGACACTTGGCAATGTCTAGAACAATCACAGAATGACAATGTGTGGATCTCATGGTGTCAGTCCTGGGATGTTTGCTCCTGGCTCCCAGTGTGTGGATCCCAGGAAGGCTACTCAACAGCCTCAGTGCCCGGGATAGCCCCACCACAGAAATCCTGCGGCTCCCAATGTCAGCAGTGCCGAGGTTGCAAAATGCCCCATCCTGCGTGTAGGACAATATCAGTTTCTGCGTTTTCTTTTTTTTTCTTGAGATGGAGTCTTGCTCTGTCATCAGGGTGGAGTGCAGTGGTGCTATCTCAGCTCGCTGCAACCTCCGCCTCCCGGGTTCAAGCGATCCTCCTGCCTCAGCCTTCTAAGTAGCTGGGATTAGAGGGTGTACACCAACACTGGCTAATTTTTTTGTGTTTTTAGTAGAGACGGGGTTTCACCGTGTTGCCCAGGCTGGTCACTCGAACTCCTGACTTGTGATCTGCTCGCCTCGGGCCTCCTAAATGAACTGAGATGACAGGCGTGAGCCATTGCCCAGCCTCAGTTTGCTTTTCTGCTGATACTGGCTCACTTTCCCTGTGGCCCCACATTCCTCTGTCCACAGACCATCCCTCCAGCCACAGAAGGAAGGAGGTGTGACTAACCCCTTATCTAGCAACAGAAGGAGCTGTGGCGGGCAACTCTAAGCCCGGAAACCTGCTGCAAGCTTTCTGGGGAGGGTGGAGCCATGCACTTTACCGCGTCTCTTTTCCCAGAAGTGGAAGCACAGACTCTCAGGCCTGTTTCCAAATCATCCGAGTTACAATTTCTCAACTTCCTCCAGGGCCGGAGCAGACATGATCCTTCCTGGGGAGAAGGGAAATGTGGTGGCCCCATCTCCCGTTCGGTGGCAGCGGTGTCTGGACCAGGAAGAAGACTGAGTGGCAATGGATTTTTGTCTTTATTTATTTATTTATTTATTTATTTTGAGACAAAGTCTCGCTCTGTCTCCCAGGCTGCAGTGCAAAAAAGTCACGATTTTTGTATGTATGTATGTATGTATGTATGTATGTATGTATTTCTTTATTTGAGATGGAGTTTCACTCTTGTTGCCCAGGCTGGAGTGCAGTGGTGCGATCTCAGCTCACTGCAACCTCCGCCTCCTGGGTTCAAGCGATTCTCCTGCCTCAGCCTCCTGAGTAGCTGGGATTACAGGTATCCGCCACCACACCCAGCTAATTTTGTATTTTCAGTACAGACAGGGTTTCTCCGTGTTGGTCAGGGCTGGTCTGAACTCTGACCTCAGGTGATCCGCCTGCCTCGGCCTCCCAAAGTGCTGGGATTACAGGCATCAGCCACTGCGCCTGGCCTTTATTTATTTATATTTTTTTGGGGAGCAAGTCTCCCTCTGTCAGCCAGGCTGGGTATAAAACGTTACCATTTTTGTTATTTATTTATTATTTATATTTTTTGAGACAGAGTCTTACTCTGTCACCCAGGTTGGAGTGCAGTGGTGCA